TTGTTCTGACAATGAAAGTCAAGCATTTCTTTCGTTCTCTTTTCGTATTTGGGCATCGGTGGAAATTTCAAAGTAACACCCACGAAGAGGACGACTCGGATCCGACCCTCCCCTAGGTCGGGCGAGGGCGGCCCTCGCCGTCGTCAGGCGAGGGACGTCCTCGCTTGCGTCGGGCGAGGGCCGCCCTCGCTAGATCTGGCGAGGGCAAGCCTTGCCTGTATCGAGCAAGGGCCGCCCGACGCAGGCGAGGGTCGCCCTCGCCAGATCCGACAAGGGCGAGCCTCGCCTGCGTCGGGCGAGGGCCGCCCTCGCCGGATCCGGCGAGGGCGACCCTCGCCTGCGTCGAGCGAGGGCCGCCGGACGCCGGCGAGGGCGGCCCACACCGGCTTCCGCCTTTGGCCGGTCGCCGGACCGGCGACCGGCCAAAGGTTGAAGGCAAAGAAAAAAAAAAGAAAAGAAAAGAAAAAAGAAAAAATTCAAAAAATAAAAAAATAATATTAAAAATTAGTTCGGGGTAAAATTGTCACATGTGTACCAGTTTGGGGTTTTTTGTGGTATGTTCGGGGTAAAATTGTCACAGGTGTACCAGTTCGGGGTTTTTTATGGTCAAAAAAATAGTTTGGGGTAAATGTGTCACAAGTGTACTAGTTTAGGGTTTTTCGTGGTATTAACCCTTTTATAAAACACCGACCCTTCGTCCAATGACATTGGAGTTAGGTTTCCTTTTGTTTTCTTCTTTTTTCGCTCTACAATCTAGAGACCAATCCCTCTCTTCTGATGGAACACGTATCCTTTGTCATTGACATGTTTTTGTTATTGTTTATGTCCAGGGTTCATTGTGAAGAGGATCCACCAACCACGACGACTCAATGTGTAAATAATATTGAAGTTAACATAACAACCACAAGACTTGAGGCATGAGAAAGATAACGTGTCAATCACATGGTATAATATATTTCATCAAATTATTTTTCTTCAGCAAAACAATGTTAACTCAGGAGAAATAGCAAACGAATTTCTATTTCAGAAATATAAATTTTGTGTCGTTATCAAATGCATATTTTGGCTTGAAAACTCATCGATGAAATAGAAATAGAAAAATTAATTTCTAGCCAGAAATTGATTTCTGGAACAGAATGATTATCATTTGCGCCCTTAATATTCGCGACCAAATAAATTGGTCTTTGTCTCAAGCCTTTCTCATCCCTGAAAGAATCCCTCCCTAATCGCCGCTCAAAACAAACAAGTTAAGGTACCAAATGTACAGTTAAACATTGCACCCTTCATAAACAAGACGAACATAAATTGATATACATTGCAACTTTCCAAAACATGACAACATAAATCGCCCTCGCCGGCCTTCGGGAAGGCCCAGGCGAGGGCCGCCGCTCCTTCCCGGTGGCTGTGGCGGCGGCCACCAGCGAAGGCTTGGCCACCGCCGCAACTGCCGGTTGTCTCTTTTTTTTTTTTTTCCTGACGTTAATTGGACGGATTTATAACGGGAGGGCAGATTTGGGACTCGCATAAAAGTTTGAGGTTTTTCTTGAGACAAAAAAAAGTTCATGATATAATTGGGACAAAGTGTAAAATTGAGGATTTTTTTTGGAATTAGGCCAAAGTAACGAGATTCGCTCCTATTTTAAAAAATAAAGATTTAAAGTTTTTCACGTGCATCAGGAGACGGAGACATGTCTGAAGACTGAAAACTGCGCAATTACGTACGAAATTGTTGAGCACTTTATCTTCTCTAGTTGTTCACGGGTCACGCAAAGCCGTCTTTTGTACAGCACCTTTTTGGCCCGACATGGGACGACTTGAAGATGTCGCTATAGTCAAGGATATGCTGCCAACGCTCCTCGATCTCCTCACCCCCAAGGACGCCACATTCTTGCTTCTTGTCGAAAGTTCAAGTGACGTCATTGCTTACATCCTCAAGAGGAGATTTGGGTCGTGTCCTGACATGGATTTTGACACGTGCTGGGTGTGTCGGCACGAAATGTTAGGAGAGATAAGGCAGAAGGCATCTCTCTCCATGGAAGGGATAATGGAGCGACTGGAAACCTTTTCGACTCCCTCACAATGGCACCTCGGTAATTCTTTTTGTGAACTTCGAGGATGGTTTTTTAGTGAGAGAGAATCGGATCATTTTACCGGGGGCATGTTTTCCTCCGATGTTGATCGGAAATAATCTTTCTCCTATCAGGTCATGATAAAAGACTGGATTACATGCTTGAACATTACCCATATTACTCTAATCATGTCAAACAATGAAGAAAACTAGAAGTAGAAAACCAAATCAGCCCACCGCTCTCTCTTTCTTCCCCTCTCTCTCTCTAGAGGTTCAACTAAGCATCATCATTAAAATGGAGATATAAGATATTGCAATCGGGATAACGAAACCAAATGTGCTGAACTTTTACCAATTATCGTTCGTCCGTACTCACTTTTTGATCAATTGAGTAGTTAGATTATATATATTTTTTATCAATTAGATAATGAAAATCAAAGGCCCTGAGTTTTTACCAATCATTTTATATCCTCCTTAAACTCTTTTTATCGATTAGATTTTTGAATTATATGCTTTTCTCTGTTCATGTTAGTTTTTGTATTAAAAGAATAAATAAAAATGCTGAAGGGGTAGTCAATTGGAGTTTAATGAGCTAGTCTGATGGGCCGTGCCTGTGGTCTGACGGGCTGGTCTGGGTCCTTGCAAGAATGACCGGATTGGACCCTTTTTTCTTATTTTTATTTCTTTAATTATTATTCTTTTTTTTAACAAAAGCGCATGTTCGACTTGCTGGCAAAAATTTAGGTGTCGATACTGTCGATTAAGACGTTAATGCGTAAGTATCAAGATAGATAGTAATTCTGTAGTGTTTTTGAGTTTAGTGGAAAAAGAGAATGGGAGAAAAAGAAAAACAGCGTTTGTAACGTTTTAATGTCAAAGTTTGGCACTTGATGCTTTGCACATGGCAAATTTGAGATGTAAACTTTTGGAAATAAAAATTCCGAAAAATGATTTTTTATTTTTCCATGTTTATTTGTGTTTATTTTAATACTAAAAAAAATAAACACTGCAGCAAATTTCAGTTCGTGTTTTTTTTTTTTTTTTGTCTTCATCCCCGATTGTCCAATACTAAGTGTGGGTGCACGGAAAGTGCTGAAAACTCTGCAGAAAAAGTAAGAAATAAGCTGATACGCCTAAAAATATGAAAGGTGTTCATGAAAGTTTCTCCGAACAAGCAAGACCGTCAAAGATTGAGGATCAAGTGGCAATTGAAGGTGGATTGACAGCGTTTCCCGTTTCGTGATTATACTCCGACAAAGGAACGATTCCGGTGGAGGTGAAATTCGTGGGATCGAGTAACTCACGATGAGTTTGTGCTAATAATCGCATTCCAAATGGCATTGAGCATGTTTTGATCGTCTAAATAAGTTGTATTTGGATCACACGATGTAAAGTTCGTGGGATTGAAGTACCAATTTTTGTATGTCTTACATACAAAAAAGTTAATCTCACAAACTCTATTTGAAATTTACCAACCATTATAGAAGTAGTTATCAACATTTCTCCGATTAAATTACCAACTAATTTTGCATTACTGATTATTATTTGAGGAAGTTAGCGAAGTTTATTTCGTTTTTTTAGTTATCAATTTCTCTCATCTCCAACAAAAAAAATGACTTTTCCTATATTTTACCAACTTTTATTTCTCTTTCGTACCAATAATTTGAATTTATCAATTGTCTATAAAAAGAAGAAGAAGAAGAAGGAAGAAACCGATCTTCAACTTTGAGTTGGGGCCGTGAGTTGAGGGACCTTGAGCCATGAGTCGTTCGAGCTTGTTCATCCACTTTCTCCCGTCATTTAAGGTAGGGTGTGCATGTGTTTATCTCATTCGTTTTCCGTTTGGAACTGCTCGCTAGTACTCCAATGATTGGAATCGAATTTTAAAGCTAAAGCACGTTAAGATATGAATCTTTTTTATATGCTTATTTTTTTAAATTTCAAATTAGCTTACCAACTACAAACAAGTTGGCATTTCTTGATTTTTACTCTGTCAAAGATTGTATTTTTTCTTCTCTTTATAAACGTGTACAATATGTAAATATGTAGTAATGAAATCAGTCACAAAACGTTGAGCCTTTATATGGTATGAGAGCATTATGCTCCTAAGAGCCTTTGATTCGGCCATTTTTTTTTCAGCAACCTTCTGCATCCTTCAGCCATGGAAGTCACCTTAGAATCAGCTCACACCACCTCAAATTTTGGTTCCAGTTCCATCGGGATAGCCGCACCTAATAGTCTGATTTCAATCTCGACGGCCATCCAATTGCCATGCAAGCTCTCCGCTGCCAATTATCCCTCTTGGCGCACTCAATTTCAGGCGTTGCTCATTGGTTATGATTTAATGGGATTTGTTGACGGGACTTCCGTCTGTCCTCCTCTCACTGTTTAGCAGGAAATCAAACGGTGCCAATTCCAGCCGCAACAACCTAATTCACCAGGATCAGCTCTTGCTTCATGCAATTTTTGCATCCGTATCCAAGGCTGTGATCCCTCTCATTGCCTCTTGTAATTCGTCACTCGCTGCCTGGACAAAACTCACGAATTTATATGCAAATAAATCTAGCTCAAGAGTTATGCATCTCAAGGATTAGCTCTCTACCGCTCCCCGAAACTCACGTTCTATTTCAGATTTTTTGCAGGAATTTAAAGCCCTTGCGGATGAATTAGCAATTGTTGAGGAAAACTCCTAATGAATTTTGAAGCTGACAAAACTTTCTATGAATCTGACATGCATTCCATTCCAGGTTAATACATTCTGGAAGTTCAGAAGGAAATATCAGACTTTACAAGTTTTCAGAACTAAGACTCAGAACTAAAAGTTCAAACTTTACCATAAAAGTCATTCAGACTCTAATTTTGGAAGACTCAAATTTTATTGAAGACCTACGCAAACTCAGGTTATGAATGTAAAGCAAGAATCAGAAATTCTTCAGACGCAGAAGTTTTGCAGATGCAGACGCAAAAGTTTTTCTGATGCAAAAGCAAAACTCATTCAGAATGAATCACAACAGCTAGTGATCTGGCATGGATTTCACAAAAGGAAAGTTTTGATTGACTCAATCTTAATCAAATTGATTGACAATCAAATATTATGACAAGTATGCATTACAACGGATAAAGCTCTACTTATAGAAACCAAGATTTTGATTGTATGGGCGACCAGAATCAGCGGGATTCATATTTTGTTGACCAACGGCTACTCAATCCATTTTATACAAATGTGTCCAAGATGAAGATTGGAAGATGATCCTCTGAAGACTGTCCAACGACTAGTTTGGTAGTTGAGGAGTATAAAAGGAGACCTACGAGGAGCAGAAGGAAAGAACGAAATCGAGAATCAACAAGTCCAAAGTCTGAGCATACTCTGATCCTTTTTCTTGTCTTTCTGAGCTAAACATTAAGATCTTGAGGGACACTTTGTAAGAGTGATTGTGTGAGATAGATAGTCCTATCATACACAAGAGTGTTGTCACTCAAAATCTGTAATTCCTCTTGATTACATAGTGAAATCCAGCCAGTAGGCTGTCAGAGTGGGAGAGTGGACGTAGGCTTTCTATAAGCCGAACCACTATAACTTGTGTGCAGTTTTTCTATCCCTTATCTCTTACTTTACATACTGCACATCAAGATCACTGTCTATATAAACTGTTTTGAATCTGAATTTTATTCAGACTCAACTGTGATCAATCATTTCCGCTTAAATTGATCAAAATCGTTTTAGATCACCTATTCACCCCCCTCTAGGTGATCCTTGCGAGCTATATCAATTGGCATCAGAGTAGGTTGCTCGTTTATTGAAGTGTATTACTTATGAGCTAATAATCTATATGGCTAGCTTGAGTGCTCCAGGTCTCATTGAAGGACAAAGCAACAACAGACCACCATATTTCGATGGCAAGGAATATAATGTCTGGAAGAATAAGATGAAGGCATTTATAAAGTCAATTGATCACATGCAATATGATGTCACCATCAAAGAAGTCAAACCAAGACCTTCTGATTCAAAAGAAAAGACAGAAGGAAGCATACCAGCAGATCCTCCATTTCAAACTGAGATATCAAAATGGGAAGCCTTAGATTCCAAAGCAATTTATTCTTTCTATTGTGCCTTAGCACCTATTGAATATAAAAAAATTGCTTCTTGTGAATCAGCTAAGGATATCTGGGATACTCTCTACACTACTTATGAAGGAACAGATCGAGCCAAGGAAACTCAAATCAATCTACTGCTTGGTCAATATGAATCCTTCATAATGAAGTCTGGAGAATCAGTTGCTGATATGTATGACAGATTTGCTGACATAGTAAACGGTCTTGCATATCAAGGACAACTAGTCTCAGATGCGATGAAATTTAACAAACTTTTGAGAGGATTGTTAAAGCAGTGAGATAATACCAAAACATCTCTTTGAGAGACTCAAAGGATCATGTCTCTATCAGTGAATGAGCTAATCAGAACTCTTCAATCATATGAGACTGAACAACTGAATGAGGAGAATGAATCCAGAGGTAAAAAGTCAATTGCATTAAAGTCTAATATTGATTCTGATGATGCAAATCTCAAAGGGAAGAAACCTTTTGAGAAGAAGAAGACTCTCCATGAAATAGAAAAATCAAATGAAGTAATCTGCTTTCATTGTAGGAAACGTGGACATATCAACCCAAATTGTCCACTTCTGAAAAAGAAGACCAAATTTGAGAAAGCAAAAAAAGCCTTAAAAGCAGAAACATGGAGTGATACAGAGTGTGAAGACAGTGATGAAGATATCTCAAACTTTTGTCTGATGGCCAAGTCAGACTCAGACTCAGATTCAGATTTTGATGCTAAAGTTGAGATTGAGGTAAAGTATCCTGAAATGCCAATTGAAGTGTCAAATTACATTGATGAATTATGCTTTGAATTTAAGGCTACTCTTAAAAGAATCTCTTCATTAAAAAAGGAAAATTCATCACTGAGGCAATAGGATGTTTCACAAAAAGAAATAATCGATTTCCTTCAAAAAGAATTTCATCAAGTCAAGGAAAATTGTCACGCCCCAAACCCCATCGAGCTCGCGACATCCCTCTTCGGTCGAATATCGCGATGTCCCAGGACGTCGCCGACCCTACACACTAGAGATAAAGCACTAGCGAAAGCCACAAACACCCGGACAAAAATTACTAGGGGTAAAAGGGAGAATATACATCCGTTACCATTATAAACTTATACAATATCCACCTTTCACTATCCACATAATATACATGTACACCGAACTTCTAAACTATACACCACTGATATAAAAAAGGATCAGTAGCCTGGGTATACCCTACTCCAAAAATGGGACACTTCAAAACCTCTACACCCCTTGGATGGCGTCCACTCCGAGTCTGACTCTCCAGAACCCGAGTCTGAATCCCCCTGAGCTGCCTGTTCTTCTGAGGATTCAGAGTCTGCCTCGATCTCAATCGGGTTGTGCTCATCATCCGACTCTAGCGGAACCTCAACCCGCTCCTCATCATCAGACTCCTCTTCTGGCTCTTCCTCTGGCTCATTCTCTAGCTCATCCTCTGATTCAACCTCTGGGTCTTCTTCTGGCTCGTCTCCGGGTTCTTCTTCCGGTGCCTCTTCAGGCTCTTCTTCAAACTCTTCCTCTGGGGGTTCCTCCTTTGGCACTACGTCTAGATCCACCTCCACAGGTTCATACCCTGCCTGTGATTCCTCCGGCTCCGGATCAGGTTCAGCCACTGAAGGTTTGGGTGCTGCGGGTATGTGCTGATGTCCTGATTGGGCGAGACTAGTATCCAGACTAGTCATCTCACCGTCGGGAGGGGGTATGGCCGACGGATCCCAATCTCCTACTCCGTCAAAGGGAACATCAAAGCCACGGGCGGAGCCAAATTCATCCATCCCGTCCCGAAACATCCAGGCGGTATAGGTGTGGGCCTGCCAAAGAGGTTGCCCTATGTCTACCTAGACTACGGTAGTATGCTTGATCCAGGTCATATTCTCGTCTATCGGATACTCTACAACGTTATGGTCGGTGTACATCGATATTCCAAAACGCTGAGGCGGCGACGGTGGAAGATTCATGGTTCAGGCCGGGGTTCTTAAATGGTTTGGTTGAAAAAACCATGAGACACGTCTCAACAAGTAAACACCCTAAACCCCACCTAGGCTAACACGTACCTCTAGACAAGTCCAAACACAATCACATTCAATGATCACATAATAGGTACATAATTTGCACTTACCCGGGCTTTTGATACGCGCAATCTGCAGGTTAGTCTCAAATATACAATTTCAACCATATGCACATTCCAATTAAATATCATGCCCGAAACACAAGTCGAACACATGGCATTTCCAATTCCACATATTACGCACTCGTTCATGCTTCATCACACTATTTTCATTCGACTTGCCAGTGACCCGCGTTACAGTACACGCCTCAGGTTCACTTTTCAATTCACGATCCACACACGACCATCTCAAATTCACAACACTTCTTAGCCCGCGTTACAGTACACGCCTCAGGCTATGTCTCTTGCCCGCGTTACAGTACACGCCTCAGGCTCAACATCCACCACCTACGGCACAACCCGCGTTGAAGTACACGCCTCAAGTTGGTAGTCTTCCGGTAATACCGGGCATCGTCCCGCGTTAAAGTACATGCCTCAGGATGGCACAATTCCCCGCGTTACAGTACACGCCTCAGGGACTTTCGTGACCACACGCACGACATATCACATAAATTTCTCACCCATCCGCACGCTCAAACCTTATGCGAACATGCTCAATTATCACACAAACATGGCCAATTGCTAGTCAATTCAATTCAGCCCATGCGCGCGTATAACGGTCCACATTTCAATCAATCAATTCGCAAACCAATGAGCATACAAGGCCGCCATTGGACCCACAATCACAGCCACTAACATGAGCATAAATTCAACATTTCCATGTCTATTTCAAGCCACAATAGCCACACAAACCAGCCACAACGCCACACGTCAAACTGACACGTTTAGTCCCCAAAATCGGACTGTACGCTCATCATTTCAATCCTCAATATCCAGCACTCAATTCAACATCAAATCAGTCCCAAAGCATCACAATTTCGCCCACAAATCAACCAAATTTCAGTCCCCAAATCAGCCGACTAACATAACCCCTAAACAGCCCCTAAATAACCCATAAACCGACTCTAATCAACCCGATTCAGCCCCTAATCAAGTCCATCGATACCCGATATCCTAAGTAAAGTTTAGGGGGCCACTTACTTGGAAACCTAAGCTAGCTCGGCTGAAGGGGAGGGGCGGCTGGCCAGCTGTCACCCAGTAGGCGGACGGCGGCTGGACGGTCTGCTGGTTCACCTCGGCTGGGCTGAACCGAAGGGGGCTGGTGGTGGTGTTCGGTGAGGGGGAAAAACAAGAGAGAGAGAGAGATGGGGCTGGTGGTGGTGTTCGGTGAGGGGGAAAAACAAGAGAGAGAGAGAGAGAGAGAGAGAGAGAGAGAGAGAGAGAGAGAGAGAGAGAGAGAGATGGTGAGGCGTGGTGGTGGCGAGGACGCAGCGCCGGAAGCGACCGAGCGGCGGTGTTCCGACTTGGCGGGTGGACGGCGGTGGTTGGCCTGTGCAGCTGGCCACGGTCACGGTGGGGAGGAGGATGATCGGCCGGGAGCGAGAGAGGGAGAGAGAGGTGCCGAGAGAGTGAGAGAGAGTGAGAGGGAGAGAGAGAAAATGATAGAAATAGTCTAAGGGCCAATAATTGGTATCTAATATCTTGCCAAATGACCATCCTACCCTCCTCTGTATTCCCAAATCGACGGCCACGATTTGATCTTATCCTAAGATTGACGCTAAGATCAATCCTTGCCAAAAATATCCAGGGGCAAAATGGGAATTTCACAAAATTTTCAAGGGCAAAATTGTCCAAGAATTTTCATCTCTAAAGTAGGTGTGAAATGACCAAAATGTCCCTCTCCCATTATACTTGGCCTTAACAAAATCCCAGGGGTAAAACGGTCATTTTCCCTTTCTCGCCGAAATTCGAATTTTCTAAAGAATCCGAACAAATCTGAGGCTGACCGAGCTAATGACAACATCGTCCAATTATCCTGTCGTGACCTTCATAATTTCCGATGCCCAAACTTAGTCTCTAATTAATGATTAAATTTAATTAACGTAACTTGAGCGTATCTCGAACTAACGGGTGGCTTTTAGGGAAATTCGCAATTTCGATCCGTGGCCGATACTGAATCAAGCCACATGTAAGTTCACTCGGGTCGTGACGACCTCAGTTGTTACTTAATCGCGGGATCGATCGCTAGTTCCGACGAGCACGATCGTTTGGTATAGGTTTGGGGTCATTCGTCAATTCATTTCGTGGTCAAGTGGAATCACCCGCGATCCACTCGTATGACAGCGGCGAACTGATCCCTAAGTATCCTTGGATCGGCCTACATTGGCTCAAAATGTCACCTCGACAATTTTTATGGTCGAAAGTCGATTGACGATCGAATTCTTTGGTCGCGCGAATTTAAATCCCTAATTAGCCATTCCCTATTAGTTAGTATCCTAGGAGTGATCAGTTCCGGGCGAGATCTAACTACAAGCACGTTCATAAAATCATCCATTTCATAAATCCCAAGTGGGTCGGATTTTAGAATGTCACAAAAATCGAGATTTACTTTCCAAAGAAAATGCTGTTTTGAGAAAGGAATTTTAAGAAATTATTTCCAAATTTTCAAAAGGTTCAGAAATGTTGAAGCATATTCTTTCTATACAAATTCCTTACTACAACAAATCTGGTCTTGGATTTGTGAAGGAAAGTGACAATTTAATTGATTTTCCAAAAATCAAGGAGAGATTAAAGCAAAGGCCTCATCGACAAGTTTATAAAAATCATTTCAAAAGGAATTTTGTCAAACCTGTTGGCCGAAGTGCACTCAAGTGCTCAAAATGTGGAGATCCACAGCACTTTGAGAATGAATGTCCTAAGGTCTGGAGACCAATTCGAAGAGACTTTGTTAAGACAGCCTATACTAATTCTCAAAGACCCAAACAAATTTGGGTACCAAAGAAAACTTGAGTGGTTGTGATTTTTGAATGTTTCCACAAAGAGAAAAAGAAAGTGGTACCTAGACAGTGGATGTTCTAGACACATGACAGGAGATCCAAGCATATTCGTTAAACTACAAAGTCCGAATGGTAGAAAAGTTTCCTTTGGAGGAAATAACAAAGGAAAGATAGTTGGCAAATGAACAGTTGAAATTGGAGGACTCACAATCAATGATGTGTCATTGGTAAAAGGACTCAACTACAACTTGATAAGCATAAGCTAACTATGTGATATAGGTTTCAGAATCAACTTTCAAGAAAATACATGCTCAGGAACGAGCAAAGATTCTTATCAAACATTCACAGGAAGAAGACATGGCAATATTTATCTTCTAGATATCAATCCAAACTCCACTCATTGCTTGATCTCAATCAAAGAGGATGAAGATCTATAGCACAGAAGATTGGGGCATATTAGTAAACAAATCTCATAAATCTCAAACAAGAAATTGGTTCGAGGTCTGCTAGATTTGAAGTACAAGAAAACAGAGTTATATAATGCTTGCACTCTAGGAAAACAAGTAAGAAGTTCTTTTAAGTCTATACATCATGTTTCCACTAATCGTGCTTTGCAGCTTCTTCATATGGATCTATTTGGACCAACCAGAATACAAAGTATTGGTGGTAAGAAATATTGTTAAGTTATTGTTGATGACTTCACAAGATTTACTTGGGTGTTCTTCCTTGCTCATAAAAATGAAGCATTTTCATATTTTTCAAGATTTGCAAGAAGAATTCAGAATGAAAAGGGTTATACCATTTCCTGCCTTAAAACTGATCATGGGGGAGAATTTGAAAATCAAAGTTTTTAGATTTCTGTGAGGAAAATGGCTTTCAACACAATTTTTCTACTCCTTATACACCATAACAAAATGGTGTTGTGGAAAGGAAAAATCGTTCTTTACAAGAAATGGCAAGAACTCTTTTGATTGAAAGCAAGATTCCTTTTCATTTTTGGGCAGAAGCAGTTTTTACAGCTTGTTATATCATTAACAGAGTTTTTCTCATGCCCATTCTTGAGAAAACCCGCTATGAGCTTTACAAAGGTAGAAAACCCACTATTTCATATTTTCGTGTATTTGGTTATAAATGCTTTATACTCAAAAATCCAAATGACCGCTCTGGTAAGTTTGATGAGAAAGCAGATGAAGGATTTTTCTTTGGATATTCTACTACAAGTAAAGCATACAGAGTCTTCAACAAGAATTCTCAGACTGTGGAAGAAACAATGAATACGAGGTTTGATGAAAATATTCAGACTCACAAAGATGAATCTGAACCATCTCCCAATATTCAAGAGTTATCTGAAGCTTAACAAGAATCTCCAAAGATCGTTGAATATATAGAAGAAGGAAAAGAAGGTTCAATCCAGACTCAATCAGAACCTTCAGAATCTGATGATATTCAGAAGGAGAGTAAATGTCTCTTTAAGTATAATACCTTTTTCAACAATAGGTGTTTTTCCAATCCTTAGACCTTTTTCATATTCTTCCATAGCCTCTCGTTCAAACAGAAAGCCTAGTATTTTACATACCGCATTAATAGTGCTCTAATCACTTCGATTTTCTCGAAGTACTTTGATAGCCTTTATTAGTTGCCTTGCTCTACTAAAACGATTACGCTCATGGACAGGGATTCTTGGAGATTTCTTACCTTCAAACGACTCCATATCAGAACTCGTATCGGAGATGTCGAT